GAAAGTTCAGACGCAGCATCTAGGTGAGAGCATATTTATATTTGCATGCCAATCTTCATTCTTGCTGCCTGCTTCTTTGTGGAACATTCCTCCTCTGCCCTGGCCCTGCCCCCCCTCCCCACTGGGACCACCAACACTGACATTTCTCTTCCCAGTACCTGATGCTCTCGGGTTGCATGCCATTCTGTGCCCAGTTAAGACTTTTTACTTGCCCCTTGAGTTAGAGGGACAGAGGGATAAAAAGGTAAGAGTTGCAGAGGGAAAGTCCTTATGAAGATAAAATAGATTTTAGAATAAAATAGTTTTGTTGGGGGGTGTTGTTTGTTTGTTTGTTTTTGAGATAGTGATTTAAAAAAAAAAAAGTAAGTCTGCAATAACAGAAGTCACTTGGTATTCTGAGTGGCGGCAGATATAGAAACTCCAGTATGGCAAGCAGATTTTCACCAAATCAAAGCATGAAAACAAAACAGTTACTATGCACGAGCCCATGACGTTGCTGCCTTGGCCATCACTCGGATGAGAGAAGATTTGAAGAATGGTGTGGCACACGAGGCTGCCACCCCAAGAGTCCTGGCTGCCCTTCCTCCCTGCCAGCTTCCCAGTAAGATAAATGGAGACACTGTGGCTTCAAGGTGCCTGGCTGGAATGAGATGCAGGGACGCCTCTCTGTTCTTTACAAGCATCATAGATCTGATAGTACTTACAAAAGAAGAAGAGACCTGGTGCCCTGCTGACTAAACTGTCCTCCAGGGGAGTATTAGTCACAGGGCTTCTTTGTTAACTAGGCTGAATGCTTAAACCACTGTTGACCTTCTTTTATTAGCATGCTTTAAGATAGCTCTACTCCTGGATACCCCAAGTATCTGCAGGGCAGAAATATTTCCATATAATTTACATATAAAAGTTACGTGTATATAAAAGTAATATAAAAATTATATCTTTTTATTACTCTTCTGTTACACTAAGGTCTAGTCAGCGCTGAAATTCTGATGACTTGTGAACGCGAAGAAAGCCACCGTTTTTATATTTTCCTCTTGATAGTTTCTTCTTGCTCAGCTTGTTGAATAACAGAAACGTTTTTTGATACCTTTACACCTTGGATGAGGCTCTCCTAACACCCATCTGTGTCATTTTTTCAACCATCACGTAGAGTTTTATGGGAGTATGGGGAAGGAATATGTAAATCATACAATTAGAAAATTTTCAAAGTAACATTTTGTTTTATGTGAAGAAAGACTTGCATAAAATTATTTTAAATTGAAGTTTCTTAAAAACTGAACATGTATTGTTTTATCTATATTTAATTTCTTAGTTAATGTAATAGAAAATGGTTATGTATCTAGCTATCAACCAAATTTATTTTTGGCTGCCTGGCCCTCTTTCCTCATATTCCCGCTACTTAGGCTTTTTGAGAGCATCTAGCTAATTGGGGTAATCTCCATCCTCACAGGAGGTTCATTCCCAATAAAGTAAATCTACATCTGGCCAGCTCTCACTCCATACTTTCATGCAGTTATAGTAATGGGCTCAGTTCCTGTTCTTGGTAAAGTTTGTACCAATCACCTTATGTGGTGAGGTGTTGGTGCGGTTCCAGTGAAGTTTTTCTAGGTTCAGAGTTTCCCCAGCAAAGAGGCAGAAGTAACAAGGGAGACACCGGCATGCATGGTTCATTCAGTCAGGGTCAGCAATGTTTTCTTGTCAGGGCCAGAGAGTGAATGGCCCAGCCACTGGGCCGCATGGTCTCTGTCTCTGCTCCGCCATTGCTCAGAGCAGCCATTACTGTGCTAGGGAATGGCAGTGACTTGTTCCATGAGATGCAGTAGATCCGGTCAAGTTTTGAAGGTTACAAAATAATGTTTAAAAATGTGTGGCTTCTGAGATAAACAAAGAGTATGTATGTCACTGGGTATGGTGGCTTTTAACTTGCTACCCAGGAAGCAGATGAGTAGAGTCATGATTTGAAACCAACTGGAGCAAAACATTCTTAAGACTACCTGGAACCAATAAAGTCATTTGTGGTGGTTCAAGCCAGTCACTCCTCTTAGCTACCTGGAGAGTTAAAAAGGATTGCAGGACAGGTCACTCACTTCCTGGCATAAACAGGAGGCCCAATTTGAAATAATAACAAAAGCATAAAAGGATGGGCTTGGCTTCGGTGGTAAAGCACCTGCCTAGCAGGTGTGAGGCCTTGAGTTCCAACCCCAATACTGCCCGTGTGGGGGCGGGGAAAGTTCAGCCTGCAGGCCATGGATGGTCTTGCCCTGCTTTAAAGAGCTTTTCAGGTGCATCCCTCTGCAGGCTCAAGAGTCAATGATGAAATGCTCAGGAGACAGACCTTGGCTAAGTCCTCTTCCCTCCCCACCCACTCCCATCCAGCTCTGAGCCTATGCATGTGACAAGTAAGCCCCTAGCCTGGAGAGAGGAGAAGTAGAAATGGCCTTGATTTACTCTTTGAGCACATGGATATGTGCGCATCACGCATGCACACGCATGTGCGCACGCGCACACGCACACACACATCTGTTAGCCTAGTTCTGTTTTGAGGAACTCTGATGGTTGTCTTGATTACAAAGTGTGACTTTATCTGCTGCATGGCGCTTGTTTCAGACTTTAATAACCTTTTATTTTCACTTGACTTCACAAAAATTATACTCAGCTTAAGACGTCTAAATGGAACCACCATTGAAACGAGCAATCAAGTTATATACAAATTCTTGCTACCACCTCAGTATGTACAAAACCATGCATCTTATATATCTAGAAAAGGAATGTTTGTGTTTGTGAACTCTGAGAAACCTGGTTCGTATTCACTCCTTTTACTCTAGAGATTTGATTATACTTTTCCCAGGTGTGATGTTTTCGGTCTGTCCTGCTAATATTAGTTTGTTTCTCATAGTCATGATTATTAGCTTTAAAGATTACTCTTTATTTCACTTAGCCATATGGGGGGAGTGCGGGTTTGCTGTGGATTGAACTTGCTAAGCAGGCACTCTACCACTTAAGCCAAGTTCTTAGCCTTTTTACTTTTTCAGTTTTTGAATCAGGTCTTACATTTTCCCCCCGAACCCTAACCCACCCACTTATGCTTCCTGCATAGCTAGGATGACAGGCTTACACCAGCTTTTTTGATTGAAATTGTATCTTACTAGCTTTTTGCCCAGGTTGGCCTCCAACTGTGATCCTCCTAGTCTCTGCCATCCAAGTAACCAGCATTATAGGTATGAGCCACTGCACCTGGCTCTAGAAAGCCTGTTCTTCTTAACAGACATTGTTCCTTTAACGTTAAGATTTTTGGCTCTATTTTAGAATTATATTTTATCACAGGTGATTTCTTTGTTTTAAAAATGTTATTCATATGTTAGAACAGATATCAGTGGACTGCTTCCTGTCTAAGGGACTAGGATCCTAATCCAGAGTCGCTCTGTGACATTTTTGGCATCCATTCTCACCAGCTTATTATACCTTGCCTTGTTCACACTCTTGGGGCGAGATTTATTCTTAGAACCCAAAACATCTTCCTTCACCAGCTTTGAAAGTCCAAGTTTCAAAAGATCCCACAGTAAACAAAGTTAATCCTTAGTGAAGCTGAATGAGTAGAAGGTACCTCTTAGGGTAAATGTGCCCTGTAGGTAGTAGCATAGCCAGGCACTTCGGTTTCCACTTTGCACTGTTTTGTCCTAGATTAGAGGCCCAGAGAGAACAAAGAAAGCCTTTTTTCTCTTATGTGGAAGCTAGAATTAATTTATAAATATATAAGTAAACACTTCAAGGTGTTATGCAAGTGTACACAGATGCATTAACCAAAATATGATAGATTCAGGGCAGAACTCAAACACTGCAATTCCTTAGAAAGGTTAACTCACAGTCCAACAAAATAAACACCAGGAAACAGGTGCTGGGAAGGTCAAGGGGAAGGCCGGTGGAGGGATGGAGGACCGAAGAGAGGAAGAGGGATGTATGCACTCACAAAATTCTTAAAACAAGCAAAAGGGGGAGGGGGGGTGGGAGAGAAAGGGGAGAACAGAAAGAGATGATAGTGATCAAGATGCATTAGATCCACAAACTGCTTTGTTGTTGGCAAGTCTTCTGTAATGATCATCTATGTTAAAAATAAAGAATTTACTCTAACAACAACAGATAAGCATTTTTATACTGTTCCGTCACTTTAGAGGTCACTCTAGCGGGCCTTTCAGTGAGGGAGCATTTGTTGCTAATAGTCTCCTTTGTAGATGAGTGGGGAGGGGCAGGAGACCATTCACCCCTCCTCTTTTTCACCTTCCCTCTATTTTCTGCCCTCAGTAGTGTAACTTCCAGCATTCCCTTTGAGCTTGAGCTTTGTGATCTGTCAAGTGGAGCTTTTAATCACGGGTCTAGAGGGTGTTGTGATCACGTTAGATGGCAAAAGGTATAACATTCAGACTCCTTTCTGCCAACATAACTTCAAAGGGATTGTGTATCATAAATATACAAACACTATTATTTCATAGAATGGCACTTTGAAATTATTTTAAATGGAAGCATTTCTCACCAGAAAGTTTGGTTAAAGTTTTTACTATTGTTAGATTACATTGTCAGTTTGAAATTGAGACCCCCCATTATGGAGTTGTAAAGCCTGTAGCTCCCTATCTTACTGAAGTCCTGTGGGACAGCATTTGTTCTGCAGCCAGTCACCCACGAGGGCTGCTGGACCGCACTGTGGACAGCTCAAACGGACTTGGTGCTGACAGTGGAAGAAAGCACGCAGGGATGACTTTACAAAGGACAGGGGCAACTTCCTTTTTTTTTTCTTTCTTCAGGAGATGCCAGATCTTACAAGTTCACCCCATGAGTAACCTTAATAACATTTAATAAATAGGGTCACACTGCAACTCTTCGGCATTATTCCAGAAACTTACTCTGAAAGGGGGCTGAAATTACAGTTTTCAAGTCACCATTTGAGTTCATTTTGGTTCAAATATGTATGGCTCTTTGAATCCATGCCTTTTCTTTGTTTCCCTCAGGACCTGTCCGGCTCTATCGATGACCTCCCCACGGGAACGGAAGCAACGTTGAGCTCAGCAGTCAGTGCCTCTGGGTCTACGAGTAGTCAAGGGGACCAGAGCAACCCAGCGCAGTCGCCCTTCTCTCCACACGCCTCACCCCACCTCTCCAGCATCCCGGGCGGCCCGTCCCCCTCTCCTGTGGGCTCTCCCGTAGGAAGTAACCAGTCACGCTCGGGCCCGATTTCTCCTGCAAGTATTCCAGGTATCCGCTACCTTAGTCACTACACTTCCTCTGTTATGAAGACGTTCATCTGTCTCATTCCACTTCTTTGTGGTGGGGCCACTTGCTATAAAAGAACTGACTGCATCTGGGCCCCATAGAGAACCCACAAACGGCACAACCTCTCATTTAACAAAATAACCACCGACCTTATACTTTCAGCGTTCAGAAACAAAAGGGATTTATTCTGGCTACATCTTGTAATAATTCTGTTCAGTGAGATCCTGGGATGATTGAGATTGTTGACTGGTATTGGATTTACTTTATGGTTCTAGTCAATATTTACAGTAGCATTTGTTTTCTAAAACTTGTATATAAGTTACGCTTGTCTGTGTCTGATTCCAGTCATACTGACTGACTCCTGAACACATTCAGGCCTAAGCTCACGGCCCTTTCTGCTCCGTGGAGTTCACAGTCTAGCTAACTCTGGTTTCAGGGTTTACTTTTGTCATACATCTTCCTGTTACTTCTTCCTTTAAAAAAGAAAAATGTCATCCTCATACCAAATGTCATCCATTCAGCCCCAACAAATAACTGGTCTTACTGTACCACTAAACTATAACTATGAAATGTGTTCTTTTTGTTTTATTGATTGATTTTTGCAGTACTGGGGTTGGATTTGGCGTGGCCCTTGCTAAGAAGCCACTTTACCACTGAGCTGACCTTCCAGCCCCTTGTCTGTACATTTTTCTGCAACTTTTGCTAACGTGGTATAGGTGACTGTCCAAAACCACTTCCTACCACCCTACTGAATAGATATTGAGTTGCTAATTCATTTTTCTATTATTTGTTTTTTTCCTCTCAAGCATAGGTAGTATTTTTACCTCTTTTTACACTTTACCCCTTTATATTTTTATAAAATGTTGATGATGGACTATTTATAATATATCCTGAAGCATTATATGTGAACATATACAGTGTGCTAAATAGAAAGCATTAACTATCAAATAATTCATTGACCCACCATCCATTTTTAAGAATTGTATGCTTTTGTATCACATATATGTTTCTTTCTTATCCCAAGACCTACTTCTATCCCCAGTCTATATTTTTTTGTGACTTTTTGGGTGATTTTTTTTTTAGAATTGCTTCACAAATATTTGTAGAGTATATGTCATTTATTTACTTAGAATACTTCCTTATGGACATTTACCCTATTTCAGATGACTATTTAGTATTATTCCCATGTCAAAGCAAGCTACTGTTCATTATAGTATGAAAACATACATAAACTAGGAAGGGCCTGGATAAATTAGGAAATACTGCCGGTGGCTCAAGCCTGTAATCCTAGCTACTCAGGAGGTTGAGATCTGAGGCTCATGGTTCGAAGCCACCCCATCAGGAAACTTTGTGAGACTCTTACCTCCAATTAACCACCAGAAAACCGGAGGTGGCGCTGTGGCTCAAGTGGTAGAGCGCTCGCCTTGAACTAAAGAGCTCAGGGACAGCGCCCAGGCCTAGAGATCAAGCCCCATGACTGACAAAAACAAAAACAAATTAGGAAATACTTTCCTAGTCACACTCACTCTATGTGCTGTGCTATATCTTGCCTTTTTTTTCTAAACCCAACGTTACACTTCTAAGATTCTTCCATAATTTAAATATAGCTGTAGTTATAATGTATTTTGCTTAAGGCATTTTAATGTTACCTTTCTTTGAAACATATTTCTTTGTCTTAATAAGGTTAGCAGTAAAACCTGGATTTCCTGGGCTTAATAGCATCAATACTAAGACTGCTCCTTACTCCAGAATTTTGAAAAGCAATTCTTGGTAGTCAGATGGCTTTTGAGGTGTTAGCTATCTAAGTGCTGCAAAGTTATACATAAAATACTATATTCCACAAAGGACAGCTCCTACTTCCCTTGTGAACTGGGTCAGAAAGACATAAATTAATACCTGCACCACAAATTTTTGGAGGCCTAAAGACATTTTATTTTTTTTAACTTAAAACCCTGGAATGGTAGTTGAAAGTATCTTTATCATTTCAAATAGAGATTTCTAAGCATCTGTTTTTATTGATTGGACTTTAGTTGACTATAGCACACAGAGTCTCACAATAGAATTCACTTAGGACACATGACCTTGGTAACCCAGCAGATTTAATTGATCAAATTCTAGTGTTCAGTTATGGCTTGGGGAAGCTAAAATTAAGTGGAATTCCCCAGCTCAAATGATATCTCCCCTTCCTAGGAACTACAGGTATGGGCACAGAAGGGAAGGCAAAAGCTTCTGTATCATTACTTTCCATTTGATCAAAAGTGCTTTCATTTTGGCATGATAGTACATGCCAGCACTCAGGAGGCTAAGGCAGAAGGATCATGCGTTCAAGGCCAACATGGGATAAATAGCAAGACCCTATCAAAAACCTGAAGGTTGTGAATATAGCTCAGTGATAGGACACTTGCAGAGCATGAGCAAGGACCTGGGTTCAATTGCCAGCGTGTGTGTGTGTGTGTGTGTGTGTGTGTGTGTGTGTGTGTGTGTGTGTGTGTGTGTGTGTGTGTGTGTGTGTGTGTGTGTGTGTGTGTGTGTGTGTGTGTGTGTGGTCTTCAGCTCTCTCACATGTTGGTGAAAGCATCATGTGAGTGTTATAAACTTGTCAGCAGGGCTCATGCTCAGGGTCCACATTTGCCCTCACTGCACTGTTCATAGCTAGTTTCACTGTTGCCTCCTCTATCTCTTTCCCCAGCTAAGTTTAGGGGCACTCAGCTGTTTTTTTGGTTGGTTGATTGGCTGATTAGATGGTTGGTTGATGGTTTACGGTACTGCCGATGAACCCCAGGCAAACCCTCTGCCAGTGACCTTATATTCCCAGGCCTCAAATCTAAAGGTTTTGCTAGAAACATACTGAATTTTGTATGATTCTGTATTAGTGAGATTTGAGATTTCTTTTAAAATCATGACAGGCTGTCTCGTATGGTGGCACACACTTGCAATCCTAGCAATTGAAAGACTCTGGCAAGAAATTTGAATCTAACCTTGGTACATAGTGAGACACTGTCTCAAAAAAAAAAAAAAAAAAAAGACTTATTCTAAAGAATTACTGCTTTCTATTTCCTTTTATTTGGCTTATTTAGATATGGTCCCTTCCTCTCTTTTTCAATTAATCTTTCCCTAAGATCCATATCTTTGTTGTCTAGGAACTATTAGGTATATTAAGGTTTTTAACCTATGCCATCTATGTGTTTGTATGAATTTGGTCATAGATAATAAACTGCACTTTAGAGTTGGTTAGAAGGTTGATACTTTTTTTGGGTTGTTGTTTTTTAACTTCTGTTTACTTTGAATGCAGATAGATCTTCTTTTAAGAAATAATTAGGCTCATGTACTTCCATCTTTTCCCATCTCTAGTCCTTCTGTTTAAATCTTGCTCTTTATGCACTGGATGCTGAGATAATACCTATCTCCTTTCCTTTGGTTTGGGTATATATATACCTGTGAAGTCACACGTTAGGGTGTCACATGGTTCTCAAACTGTTGCTTCATGAGTACTGGTTTGAAATTTCTCTTTATTGTTAATATGTATCATTTTTTTCCTACTCCTCCCTCCTCTTATCCCCATCACTAGCCCCAATACACACACACACACACACACACTTGATTTTGTCCCATTTCCTCCTACTGTATCTTGCCTATGTCCCAGATTGGTACTTTGAGTCGCTTCAAAACAGACACATCCCAGCTGGTAGCTGAGATGAGGTAAAGTCAGGATGTTTGGGGGTTCTTTCTTGTGTTGCTTTCCCAGGATTTGTTGAGAAAGAGCAATGACAGTTGATAAAAAGCGTCAGCAGTAGATAAATGAAGCCCAACAAACCATCCCAACCGATTTTGATTGTTACCTGGGAAACTGGTCCTCTGCCCACTGCCTTTAGCCTATCATCGTGTGCCTCACAAATATGGTGAGTGTCCTGGATCAAGTACTGAGAGACAGCAGAGCGCTGGCTCTGCCACAGCCTGCACTCAGAGCCGTCTTGAACAGCAGGATGGAGGTTGAATGCTCTCTTTGCGTGCCCATCACTGGGCCCTGCACCACAGATATAGTGGGAGGTCAGTAATCCAGCTCAGGTCATGCACTCTACCCAAGCACTGAGAACAGAGACAAGCATGTGTCCTTGCCCAGTGCCATTTTAAATTACCTTGTTTTTTACTTATTGCCTCTTCATTTCTCTCCTCTTCATAATCATGTATTTGCATTTAGAGAGCAAAGTAAAAAATCTCCATTTTTGTCATTGGTGTCAGAATGTGTTTTTGTGAAGTTAAATTAAGCATATATATTGTCAGGTGTAGTTAACTCTGAAATGTGTTATTAGCAACATTTTCCCTTCTGATAAACGATCCGATCACATTGTGCTTACTCTGTGATGTCTTGGGGTAGGTCCTGGAACTCCACGCTTTGGGCAGAGGAGCCCTGGCTGGTTCCTCATCACTGCGTGAGAACATGTCGTGTTGCTGAGCGTCCACTCTTCTGGCCTCCTAGCCCCACCCATTCTAATTACTAACAAAGCAGAAGTGGAAATAAGTTCAACTTTTTTTATTTTACTTCATTGGCCAAAGGCTTTTGTCAGCTTTTCCTTCATGTAATGAAGTAGCAGTGGTTAAATATTAAGAGGATGAAAATTAGTGGGAAGGGGTGCTTGACCACTTGTACATGATCAGGCTTAGAAAGCCTTGAGTGTTTAGACTGCTGGTGATAGTCAATCAGTTTTGTTGATGAATATCTAAGGGTGGGAGCTGAGAATTCTTGAATTGTGTTTTCTTGTTTGGGGGATTTTTTTTTTTTTTTTTGCGGGGGGAGGAGGAGGGCATGTATACCAAGTCCAGCTTTCGGTCAAGTTAAGTCATTTCCATCTGACCACAGAAGACCACTGATGAGAATAGGTTTAGGACGAAAAATACAGTTAGGCATTCACATTAGGGCTGCACCAAATGGATATTGTTTTCCTAGCCACTGTTGTAGACTGCTGGTATTATAGGGAGACCAG